GAAAGTGAATGTAGGTTAGAGATGATATATTTGTACCTGCCTTGTTTTTACTTCTAATAAAGTAAAATGTTTGTATTATTTCATTTCTTAAGTTTATATAATGACTAAGTACATGCCTATCGCTTATAGAAAATATTTTACTTCTAATATGATGGACCAACTTTGATGGAAAGTTCGAGTTTCATCCAGGGATCTATTGACCCAAATTTTTATAAATGTATATGAAAAATAAAATAAATACAGTAATCAGTAATGGATTATGTCTCTACGAAAATCGACAGAAATATCATAATAAGTCAACCAAATCCTAGATTAATGTCTAATTTGATTTGGAAATCGCACAAGTTCTTAACTGTTACTAACCCATGTCTTCCAGAGCGTTCACGGCACTTAAACGTTGCTGAAAGCAACACTGGATACGTTTTATTATGTAGCAAAACATACCAAACTGAGTTTTACTACAAGTTGAATTACAGTAAATTTAATTCTGAAGGTTTTATTTTTAGTTGAAAATGAAAGTGAATAATTTGGAATTAAGACAAACGCATTTGGGCATTAATGCTTTATGAAAGTGGACATGTTGAAGGTATAAGCAAATAGAACATACACATGTAAAATAATTTACTAATGCTTCCTTGTAATGGTTCTAGCAGTTATTACAGTTTTCCTTTAACTGTTAGAGAATTGGAGGCTGACTTATAGAAATATATCTTAATATTATAGTAAAAGCCCTGCGCTTTTCTTAAATTTATTTTATTGTTTGTGGTTAAACCAAATTTTTATGCTAATGAATATCTAGTGAAGCAGATCGTATGCTACTATGTTTCTACCTTTTTAGAAACAAAATTAAAAAAATTGCTCCACTTTATAATGTTATGCATTAGAAATCCTTTAATAACAGATAACAACAGTATAGCAAATATGTTTTGAAAAAGTTCCAGATAAAAGTGGAGTCAGATTAATTATGCGATGCTTATATTGTTTTAGGGGAAAGTTGACTTTATGTCCTCATACAGGATCGGACTAACTAACAGAGAAAAAGAGATACTAGAGTTAAAGCTGAAAGTGAAATCCAAAATGCTTATAAAAAAAGAGCAAACTATCTACCACGTACAGTATGTAAAAAATAGCTTATATGATAAAACATTTGTAGTAAGTACCAGTCATATAACGGAGTACCTTGACTTGACGATTGATGAAGATTTTCAAAGCGTATGTTCTACCATAATACTAAAAAACTTTACATATTTTATTCAAAAATGTGTAATATGATTATTCCACTTGCCCATAAATAATAATGAAAAAGAACAATTCTACGAATTTATTTTTCCATCTTTTATAATTATTTCCTCTAATGTTATACACGGCTGCAATGTATATTCTATCTGTTCGGATAACAGATACAGAAAGTTCAGTACGTCGCATTAAAGGCCTGGCATGGCCAGGTGGTTAGGGTAATCCGAGGGTCGCGTGTTCGAATCCCCATCACACCCAAGATGCTCGCCCTTTCAGCCGTGGAGGCGTTATAATGTGACGATCAATCCCACTATTCGTTGGTAAAAGAGTAGCCCAAGAGTTGGCGGTGGATGGTGATGACTAGCTGCCTTCCCTCTAGTCTTACACTGCTAAATTATGGACGGCTAGCGTAGATAGCCCTCGTGTAGCTTTGGGCGAAATTCAAAAAACAAACAAAACAAACGTTGCATTAAAACGATTTTGAATATGCAAATCATCAATTCACACACGACGTTTACATGAAGTCGCGGTGGAACGGTGGTTTTGACGTTGTTTAACGTTTCGTAGGTGGTGCGATGGCACCGAAAATTGGTCGCTTTCAGGAAGTGTATGTAATAGACATCATTGATCAATAAGTTCATACGCTCAGGTCATGTGTTCAGATTGAAATGTTTAAGTTTACAGTACGGAGGTATTCCTTACTTAATGGCATTGGAAAACAAAGAAATATATATCAACATTGGACAGTAGGACAATCCAGATGTGATCTGCAACAAGCCCTACTCCAGCCGTGGTAGGAAAAGTGCAGCATTTCGTAACAGGTGAGAATCCAAGTACACGAAGGCCAGTGCCAAGGGATGTCCACATGCCCTAGGTAAAAGTACGCCACATAATGAAGAAGGATCTTCGTCTGGAAAAGCGGCACGAGTCACACACACACAAGTTACTTCCATAACGGATACATGTCGGTACAACAGTGTGAGCAAATGTAAATGGGGGAACAGTTTGTATTGGTGGCGCCACTGTCACTATGTACAAAAACATATTTATCGCATGTTAGCCCGATGCCTATCGTTGTATCTTTCAGCAGTAGAGCGGCTTAATCGGCTTATTCCGTGCGTAAACTTATTAATTGACTTACACGAAAGGTTCATCTGCAGATATTTTTACTCACTTTAGAATCTGCATGTTTGTCTACTTCACCACCACAATTTAATTTTTCGGTTCCTAATCATCCTATTCCATAATGACCCGTTCCGCCATTGGTACCGTAGAACCCCATCCCAAGGTCGCGGTTCAAAATCTCGCAATAGCTGCACATAGAGGACGCCCAAAGAACATGGCTTTTACAGGCTTTACATATGATATCGCTTGTGTAATTCATTCGATATGGATTGCTAGGTTGCCTGGACATCCGATAATTTGCCGTAAAAATCCAGCATAAACGGAACTCAAGTTATTGAAACCCGTATGCCGCGTTTTTATAAACAATAATAAACCATTTTTTTCCATAAGAAAAAAGAGCATATAGGCGGCATGATCATTAAAAAGGAGCGCATCATCTTTGGAAAGAGGGGCCCCAGACCTGTGTCAGATTGGCGAAGGGGGCAACTTCCCCCAGTTGCCTCCCTTAAATCAGCCACTGAGTGGGGGGATTATTGTATTGTTGCAGTCAAGTTTTGATATTTGCGCTTAGTAGACATCGTAACGAAATCAAGATACAAACTAAAATTTAAATCACAATCCCCCATACATATCTACTTATCCATCTTTTGCCGTTTTCTTTCAGTTGAACCTTGAGGAATCTCCCTCTTTATTTTTTAAAGCATTTATTCAAATTCGTCGTTTTTTATATTTAAGTTTGATTACTATTATGTTCCTGTGTCATTAAGGATTGACGTTTCACTTACTTTTATTGAAAATTTCCGTTACTTTTTGTCATGATATAAAAAACTGTTTAGTTTAGATATAATGGATTAATTTATTTTATGAGCGAATATTTTATTATTGTTTACTTTTTGTTATAACAAGAGTTAAAAGCAGACGATTGTAGGAAATTACGTTTATAATTTATTGATGTTGAGACTATCGAACGTCGCGTGCAACATATTGACGTCGAGAATATAGATATTTCTAGAATTCGGGCAGACGATTAAGTGATAGAGATATAAATAGTGTGAGACGAGCGGAAATAGCAGGCAGAGTACAGGCATAAGGGAGTACAGTTACGGCCAAGGAAAAATTCGGCGTGAAATTAACTACCGTAGAAGTGATAGGCCAAACGTTTAATATGTTAGAGTAAGACTAACAGTAGAAAAGGAGACAAAGAAGAATAACGTATTCCGTCAAAGTGTGGTTCTAAATCTAAAGTAATTGAATCAGCCTAAGTGCACTTTGACAAAAGGAATAGAGGTTACTTTGAAGAAAGAAGACCAAACGATTACGGTAACTCGCTCCACAACTGTAAGTAAATCACACCCAGAATACTAGTG